CACGCTCTTATTAGCTGGAAGCATCACGAATCTCCAAGCTCAACTAGATATCGTAAATGCGTATGCTAATCTTTGGAGGCTAAATTATAACTCTGCTAAATCTTCGCTGATGGAATTTTCATATAAGAGACGAATCGTCAATAAACAATCAGCTGTATGTTCTCTGGGAGGCGCGATTATCGAATGGACTGATACAAAGGTTTACGCGGGAATTACGTTTTGTTCAAATCTAAAAGCTGATGTCGGTATAGAAAGCGCGTGCGACAAAGGTAGAAGGAACCTTAACAGTCTAATGAGTGTTGGTATCCATCCAGGCGGATTGAATCCTCTCAAAAGTGCGCAACTCATTAAAGCAATTATCATACCAGGTGTTATATACGGATGTGAACTTTGGGCAAATGCTACGCAGAAGTCCATTGATATGTTAAATAGAACCATGCGGTATGCTGCACGAAGATGCCAGGGTTTTGAGAAAACTTCGTCGTCGGCCATAACTACCAGAGCTATTGACTTACCTGATGATTTATGGTCTGATGTAGAAATCAGAAAACTGTACCTTTGGAACAAACTGTGTAATGCTAAATTATCTTTTGTCTGGAAATCTCTATTTATTATTCGCTTATGTACATTCATGTTCACCTCACAATCGTTTCAAAACGTAAGCTTCATCGTAGACATCTTCCATACAATGGTGAAATTTAACATCGAGACATTCTTTTTCGAGTTTGTGTTCTCTGGTGCGTGCTGTAGAGAGTTTCAGTGGAAATCGTTTATTAAGAAAGTCACAACAAACTATTACTATGATGTATGGTGTAAAATGTGCAGAAATCGTCCCGATCTGTTATATTATAGGGCAGTTCATCAATATATTGGACCCAATCCCTTATGGTCTCTAACGTTGAAATTTCCTAAAAGCACATGGAAAATTTGTGAATTAATCAAGCTTTCCTACAGGGCTGAATTCCAAAATGTGATGTGTAAATTGTGCAAAAAAGTTGTGAACAATGACGTTAAACATTTCATTATACAATGTCCCACATTATTCAAAAGTAGAGACATCTTGCTGGAACAAATAGTTAATCTTATAAGCGTTGACAAATATGTACAATACGATATGCTAGAGGAAGACAAAAAATGTTCATTTATTCTTGGTGGAAGGAACGATATTTCTTTGGACGATGGACAATGGGACAATCTGATGGTTGCTATAAGTGACAAACTTGCTGGGATGTTCACAGAAATGAACATACTTCTCGAGAGCAGCTCTAGCTCTTGAGCAAAGTTTGAAGAATACAGTAAGAAACTGTAGTATTATGTAAATATGTAGTGTGCATGCTGTAAATTGTTGAAATTGTTAAAAACGACAAGACCATGTAATCTCTTATTAGAGGAAATAAAGAATGTCTGTCTGTCTGTCTACATATCGGTTACATACATATTCAATGAATCTGATCGCGTTAACAAATCCTGGGCTACTTTGGCCCTTTTTCACAGATGCTTTACTGATAATGATCAATCTTATAATATCTGCATGCTAATTACCGTTAGCAACATCAATATTAATAAGTCTAGCATGCGGAATTCCGCCTCATGTGACAAGGTGGCGTCACAAGTGTAATGTAAGAAGACCGCCTCATCAGACAAGCTGACGTCACAAGTCTAGCACGAAAAGACCCAATTTATGTGACGAACTGACGTAACAAGTGTAACATGAGGACCTAACCTCATGTACAAGCTGACGTCACAAGTGTAGTATTAAAAGACCACCTCATTGGACAAAGTTATGTCTTATGTGTAGTATGATAAGACAAACTGCATGTGACAAGCTGACATCACAAGTGTCGTATTCTAAGACCTAACTCTTGCTGACATAACAACGGTTCACATTTTTATTATTTTATTTTGCAAATGCTACAATATATTGGCTACATGAATACATAATACAGGACCCATAATGATACAATGTACATGTACAAGTATAAGAAGCCTCGCTTGTCCTGTGTGACAAACTGGCTAATGCATCATACATTGACATACAGACACGGTTCACCGAAGCAAGAACAGCGTAACATTGTAGTTATGTTCGCCCTACAGTACGTGTCGTTTTTGTTTGTGCTTTGTGAACAAAACATCTCCAACTAACCATTGTCATTAATTATTCGTGTTGTATTTCTATTTTATAACGAAAGTTATACATGTGTTTATACGTTTAAATGGCTTAAAATGTATTATATTTAGTATTTCATACCAGGAAACGTGTTGAAGTCAAACTATATCTATGCAGTTTCATCTCCATGTTTACCTAAGTGGTAGTAGGAGCAGACGTTCCGCGGATGTATTAAATGACCGTACTCGATGCGGACAGGTCTTGACCTAACTTGACCTCTCTGCCACAGGTCCATTTGTCATGTTACGTTTACATAGTATGTTTAGTGCACCATTAAGACACATGTTTTAACGCTTGTCTAAAAATAAACATATATATCTTGTGTCAGGGTAATTGTGTGTCAGGGTTAATGTGTAGCGGGTTAATGTTGTTTCATGGTTAAATTTTAGTAAGGCAATTGTGTGTCAGGGCTACTGTATGTATATATTTGTGTGTGCTAGGGTTATTGTGTGTAAGGGGTAATGTGTGTCGGGTCTCGCATGTGTCAGTGTTGTTGTGTGTAAGGGTTGTTGTATATTGGGGCTATTATGTGTGGGGTTATTGTGTATCAGGGTAAGTGTGTATCAGGGTTATTGTGTATCAGGTCTGGAATGTGTCAAGGTTTTGGTATCAAGGTTATTGTTTAGCAGGGTTATTTTGTAGCAGGATCTAGTTTATATGTGTCAGGGTTATTGTGTGGCAAGGTAATTTTGCGTCAGGTTGTTTTATAGTGTTATTGCGAGTCAGGTTTATATGTATCATGTCTTGCATGTGTCGGGGTTAGTGTGTGCTGGGGTTATTGTGTGTCAGGGTTATTTTGTGCTGGGATTATTTTGTGTCGGGTTTTGGTATGTGTCGGGGTTAGTGTGTATCAGGGGTATTTTGTGTCGGGGTTATTGTGTGTCACGGGTATTGTATGTCGGGGTTATTGTGTATTAAGGTTAAGATGTGTCATTCTTGGACACCAGTAAATATTATGACACAGACCTACCTGTATAACCACACACCCATCATTTACGAATCGAAGTTCGCATTGACATTAGGATTATTATTACACTGGCCAGCGCAGTAACAGGCTGGTGTGATAACGATTTCATCGGATAGAGCTACTCCACCCAATGTGGAATTTATTGGTGTCAGATACTGGTCAGATTAATACCTTACTCGATTAGTAATATTATCGCGTTTTCTGGTTCTACCCAGGTATAGCTAAACTGAACTGATCTCGACCCTGGTTCTACCTAGGTGTAGCTAATATTGTACTGATCTCGACCCTGGTTCTACCTAGGTATAGCTAAACTGAACTGATCTCGACCCTGGTTCTACCTGGGTATAGCTAAACTGAACTGATCTCGACCCTGGTTCTACATAAAATGCAGGTATAACAAATTGGATTTATATTGTACCCTGTTTCTACTTTGGTATAGCTAAAATGGATGTGTCTTGTACCCTGTTTCTACAGTACCTATGTATAGCTACATTGAGCTAATCTTACACCCTAGTACATGATTCAGACTAGTTCGCAGTTTGTTACAGATATCTAATTTCTTTACATATATCTGTAATTATTTTACATATATCTGTAATCTCTTTACATATATCTGTAATTTCTTTACATATATCTCTATTTCAATTAACGATATCCTCATTTCGATGGAGATATCTTTATTTCAATCAAAGATTCATCTCTAGTGCATTTGAAAAGATATCCCTGTGTGAAAAATAAGAGATATGTCTCTTTTTCATTTAAGCATATCGCTTATTCTTTCGCGACCTCCTTTTGGTATTAAAAGTTAAGTTGCAATTGGCTTGCCAAAACGTTATGAAGTGTCACAACCTGATACTTTATCGGCGGGCACTGTCGTCATATGACTTTATCTCAACATTTTGTCATACGACAAAATCAACAAAAATGACTTAGTTTATCGATGGACTGTGAGACAAAATAAAACAAAACAATAATTCATTGTAGAACCTTATTCGTTACGAAGACGTAATACTCCAATTTCCAATTCCCTATACAGTTTGGACATTCTCCGACCTATTGCGTGTAGGTTAGTTAGCTTATGTGGGTTGTTCGACTCCAGTTCAGAAATGTTGATGTCATCGATCAGAAATTAAGATTATGCAAATGGTTCTGTCAATATTTTATTTCCCCACCTTCTATCAAATTTCTTTCGTGATATAACATTAGCAATTAAAAAAACTTAATTCAGGGATTTATTGTTGGTTATCAGCTTTTAACCATGTGAAGTGATGCTTAGCATAACATGTTTAAACATATCAGCCTAAAATATAGAAACAGTGTTTTTTTTCTTATTGCCACCTGAAGCTTATATCACAACCCCGTTGCAGCAAATGACATATATCTATACTATATGGTCTGATTTACAGACATGTAATAATGTGGTAATTGACACCGATTAATATTGGGATCATCCTGTTGACAAGTCTGATAGAATCTAACATGGCTATTGTATGGTGATCTAGGAAATATATACTGAAATAAAGTGGGACACATTTAATTAAAAAAATTATCATAGCTACTGTACGTATACCCTGACGATACATTACACATACTTCCGTGCTCGGGTTGGCGTATCTTCAAAGGTAATTTTGTATAGTGCTTGCAGTTACATAAACTACAGGTAACTTTCATATTTGTAATAGGAAATATAGTTAGCAAACATGGCGTACTCAGCTTAAATTAACAGTGTCTAGTCATATAGAAACACACTATACTATACTATAAGGACACTCCTGGTATACTATCCAGTGTGGACATTCAATTGATCGGAAACAAACCGTACATTGAAATAAAATAAAGGTTAGACGAGAATGGAAAATGTCTTACCTTGACTTGATAACAGGTAGTGAAATCTGTGTACAGGTGTAAAATGTTCTCGTGAACAGGTATCTCAGCACTGTCCCCTCATCCCGCCCGACAGGTAACTGATCAAAATCCTCGACAGTCGGAAATGAATTATATCAGCTATGTGTTTGATAAATAGTGATCCTGTCACTCAGCCTGAACACGTGGCCATACCTATAAACTAGTATAGAAAACCTAAATGAACATGAGATGCATATGTAAATAGCATACAGGTAACATGTATACACAGCGAATATAAGCATGGTTCGCTTAACCGCACAGTCCCGTGGTCTCTTAAAGTATATGTAAAAAATATTTAAGTAATATGATATTTTGTAATTGTTCTCGCCGAGGGGCCATTATATTTTTTTCGTTACAGGACAAATTGATCAGGCTCATCATGCGACACATATTACTTTTATGGGGAAAATTGATCATTTTCGTCGCCAATATTTATAAACATATCACTATATAGACTGATTTAAATGCATGTAATAATGTGGTAATTGACACCGATTAAATGTTGGGATCATCATATTGACTAGTCCGATAAATGTAACATGGCTATTGGTATGATGAGCTAGGAAATATATACTTGAAACTAAAATGATATATTTCGTAAGGTGACAAACTGATCATTTTTCGTCAAGAGACAAATTGAACATTTCGTTCAGGGACAAACAGATTATATGCTCGTCATTGCAAAAATCGGTCATTTTTGCTATGGAACAAGCTGATTTTTTTCGTCGGCGGAAAAACAATTATTTCCGTCATTGGATGAATTAATAATTTTAGTCATGCCTCAAATTTGGTTATTTTTGTCAACTACGGAATCAACAAGCATTGATCGATATTGAACGAACTTATGACCATTATAATCACTATAGAAAGCCATTATAATCACTATAGACAACCATTATAATCACTATAGACAACCATTATAATCACTATAGACAACCATGATAATCACTATAGACAACCATGATAATCACTATAGACAACCATTATAATCACTATAGACAACCATTATAGTCACTATAAACAACCATTATAATCACTTTAGACAGCCATTATAATCACTATAGACGACCATTATAATCACTATAGACAACCATTATAATCACTATAGACGACCATTATAATCACTATAGACAACCATTATAATCACTATAGACAACCATTATAATCACTATAGACAACCATTATAATCACTATAGACAAACGACAGACCATATACAAGGTGACCAAGCCTACTGTAAAAACCGAGCCGACCAATACCGACTTAACACTCTTGCTGGTTGATTGTTTGGGGTTTGGTCCTTGTATAATGACGTAAAGTGTTTCGCAGCGACTCGTTAATACTATTTATAACTTTAAAGCTTCGGGATGTGCACACAACTCCCCGTTGGCGGGCCCGGGTTTATTTACTTAGGGCCCTATGTTTACCTATAGTGTGCACACTGACGGATAGTGCTATTTATGGTCGTAGTAGCGCACATATATCCAATTCATATATAAAGTGAAATTATGGACTTGGGAGATATGACATGTTTCTGGTTCACCGAAATCTGGTCTAATTCCTTCCGGTCCATACTTTCATCGATCTATTTTACCACGACTAATTTGACTGGGTTGACTATTTTCTTAACGTTAGCTTACGACAGTTTTGAGTTCTCTCTTATAAATCCATGCACAGGGGGTCTAACACTATGGACAACGAGGGCGGGGAGAAGTGAAAGCATTATAATGTGAACGGGTTATTTTTATATAGAGTAAATAGAGTTCGTTTGTTTGTGTGGTTGTACGTCTGCTTCACTACCGAGTAGTTTAGTTACCAGCAGACAATGTACATTTGTAAATAACGTAAAAAGATATCAATTAAGAATATTTCGACTACTAAAGACCGATTTACAATATCGCAGTCCAACCTTTTCGTAAATAAGATTTTGTTTGCAATGGAATGAAAACACGTAGGTTGCCACGTTTTTTATGACGTTTCTTCTCGTGTGAATTGATTTTGCATAATTAGCTGTAGTTTAAGAAATTACCTAACGTACTATAGAACTACGGGACATATCAAGATGTTTGAATCCAAGGATTATGGTTAAGTAGATTCCTGCCTTAGGTATATATATATTTTTTATAAATATACAAGCTGCACGTCAATGTTTACTTCCACAGGAACAGTTTTACCCATACCCACATTTCGCCAGCAGAAATAGGAATATCCTTTTCATCTTGACGATCATCCTCGAAACTCTAGGGAGTACGCTCACTTACTTTCATTGCAGCTATAGAATACATGCATGTTATGAAACAATCGAAGGGACGCAGTTAGCTATTCTTTTGGTTTTAGGTCAAATAAACTGACCAATTGCTAGGCTAATACTTATCATTTGCAGATTACAGACGAGCGGCATCCGACGTCAAGTATGGTCAATTTTACCGTTACGTTGCCGCACGGTTCTTCAAAAGACCAAAGAGTTCTATTTGTATCACCCACCAGGTGGCGTGTACAAAACCTTAAATTTTGTTATGACATAATCCAACAGTGCAGATAAAGGCAAACAAATGACGAAAATATTCATTCAAAACTGAAGGCATTTAGTCTCATTAATAGAGGAACAACTCGAAAACCTAATAGGCAAGGGCTCCGTGAAGCTGCTTTGTAACATCAGTATTACAGCTGTAATACTGCTTTAACTGATGTTCAGATGCACACCGTGATACAATTTCAGGTAAATCGCATATTGATGTTTACGGTAACTCATGTATCTTACTATAGCAGATTACAATGACAGCACAAGTCTCCTGACACATTACAAGATATTGATGCTGATCCAGTCTCCGAACTAGTCTGCTGGAAATGGCAAGGCAGTTGCATTTTCGACCAGGATCATGCCTCATAAAGCTTTGCAGTGTTATCCCAAATATACGGCCACGTTCTGGAGCATTTAGGTCTTAGGGGTTGTCACCATATCCATATGGCATTTGTCACGGTTTAGATTGTATTTTAGCGGACGCGAATGGTAAGATTCCTGTAGAAAAAGGCGTATCAAGTCGAGGGTTTTCTTCTATATCCTCTGCTTATTGGACATTGGAAACTACAATTGACACGCATTGCAATACTTAGGATCTATTCCTATTTATCTACTCTTTCTTTCGACTGATGTCTTTCTAGGCATCCGTCTTCACGTGATCTTAGCTATTACGAGAACGTTAAACCACATACAAACAAACTAGTAAACAAACAAACAAACAAACAAACAAATGAGGAAGTACATTTTAACAGGCAAAATATTGTAAACGTTTGTAAACGGTTCCAATGTATCAATTTTTGTTAGGCTCTCGTCGTCTTATGGTTAGAATTAAAGAAACAGCTTGACAAAGAGATACACATTTTGTAATTAGGTTAAAAAACCAATAACATAAAAGGTTACAAAAATAATGACAAATCGTCCCTACAATTTCAAGATTTTGGATTTATAAATGATGTGACAGTTAAATTTATCTATTTTCTTTGATAAATAACACCATCTAAATATATGAATCCTAGCATGGTGTGTACATTTAGCAATCACTTATGCAATCATAACAATCAATTTACATACGCGTATAATGATATATTTGATAAAGGGAAAAAACAATATAAAATTTGATTTTGAAAAAGAAACCTCAAACCATATCTATATAAGATTTTTTCTATAATAACTTTCAAAACAAACATACATTGGCTTAAACTAGAGCTATACAAAGTCCTTATTGGTCGGCCTGTAATTAAGACAATGAAGTTAATGATTGCCCTAGTGTCTGCGGTTTATAGAAAAGAATGTAAGTGTTGTTTGCAACTTGGCAAAATGTAGTCGCATGGTAAATCGGTGACTTTGTGGTAACATTCCTATGCATGTCCTTATTTTGTGTCTGGAATATCTAAAAAAATCCATGGTTTTCGATCATAACTCAACAATAAGTTTAAGTGTCTGGAAACTAAGTTGAAAAGGGAAAATTAAATGATAACAATGGCATGACAGTACTGTTCACCATTTTACCTCCGAGAAATGGAGATTAAACTCCAAAACAGCTACATAGAATGCAAGAGTGTCCAAAATGAAAAGGGAAAATTACTCAGAGAAAAATAAAATAATGGCATTGGCGTAACACATATTAATATTCATCGTTTATGTCACTGGCTCTATTCAGTTCATCATCTAGGAGCAATTGTGGTAAATAAAATGTTATATCATTACTAAATACAAAACTTTGTGCTAAACAAGCATTGCGAGCAGGGTGGTTGAGTTTAACTTCTAGGCGTTAGTATTTTTCATAATTCGAGGACCATACTGGATATTGGAAACTCTTTTTAATCTTCATTTCGTTCCTTCCCATATTTTAAAATCTCCCTCTGGTTTTGGCTTTTCGTCTGTATGTACACTCTTTTCAAGGGGAACCAGCACTACAGGTACCCAGGCACGCTGCTTTCGAGATATAGTGTTTGCTTGGTTAGTGTTCCGCTACAATAGATAGATATATCAATGTTGACTGACATTGTATATATAACATAAAATATAACAAAGGAAATTTAGAGGTAATTAACCAATGAACTTAATTATCAGATTTACTGTTCAAACACCAATGGAACTTAACATTGATTCATGTTTGATTGACATGAGTAAGAATCGTTGGAATTTAAGCGTTCTTCTAATGTGCGATTGCTTAGATATGTAAGTATGATGAACAATGTTCAGTTTGAGGTTGGTGACTCAATATTGACATTTGCATGATATTTCCTCTCATTACCCTTAGGCACTCAATTGATGAAATACTCTAATAGGCATTGGTTCATATACAAGGCAATGTAATGCATTTAATTGCATATTCGAATACAGTCACACATATTTTGTGATGTAATTATTTAAATTACAACTACTTTCCCAAAGTGATTAATTACAATAACACATTATTTTTTAGGTACGAATTGTATAACATGTCTGCGACAAAAGTTTATATCATACCATCTGACAACATTTCAGAGGAACGTTGATCTATCGGTAGCTTCTTCGGCAAAATGTTTTTCTACCTCACAATTGATACCTTATTGATATCGTTCACATGAATGGGTCGCGAGCAGGATGCTGAAGCCATCAGTTTTAATTTCGTTTAAGATGGTGACATTTTACTTTCGTCTGTTGAAATGTGTATGTGTTGAGACATATTTTGAACATTATTCCTTAAAAGTTTGACTTTCAAATCCCTACACGCTGCTTTAAACCTCGGGTCTAACAAGTTTGCTAGAAATTTCAAGTCGCTTGTACTGTAGTATAGCGAAATAACCTTGGTCCGTATTCATGAAAACTTTCTAAAGATCAAGAGTGGAATTTGTGCTCAAGCCTATTTTTTTGTTCTGGTTATAAATTGATAAAAAAACCTATTTTGTCAATGATTTGGGAAAAATAAAAGAGACATAAACCGAATACTATTTCTAATCTTTACATTTGACCTTTTCATTTTTTCACATGGTTAAGGTCAGTTACAAGTAAGCTTGTTTGAGCATACTATCCATGCTTGAGCATGGGAACGGTATCATGAATACGTACCATAACCATACTTGAAAAGGGAAAATTAAATGATAACAATGGCATGACAGTACTGTTCACCATTTTACCTCCGAGAAAAGGAGATTAAACTCCAAAACAGCTACATAGAATGCAAGAGTGTCCAAAATGAAAAGGGAAAATTACTCAGAGAAAAATAAAATAATGGCATTGGCGTAACACATATTAATATTCATCGTTTATGTCACTGGTCTCTATTCAGTTCATCATCTAGGAGCAATTGTGGTAAATAAAATGTTATATCATTACTAAATACAAAACTTTGTGCTAAACAAGCATTGCGAGCAGGGTGGTTGAGTTTAACTTCTAGGCGTTAGTATTTTTCATAATTCGAGGACCATACTGGATATTGGAAACTCTTTTTAATCTTCATTTCGTTCCTTCCCATATTTTAAAATCTCCCTCTGGTTTTGGCTTTTCGTCTGTATGTACACTCTTTTCAAGGGGAACCAGCACTACAGGTACCCAGGCACGCTGCTTTCGAGATATAGTGTTTGCTTGGTTAGTGTTCCGCTACAATAGATAAATATATCAATGTTGACTGACATTGTATATATAACATAAAATATAACAAAGGAAATTTAGAGGTAATTAACCAATGAACTTAATTATCAGATTTACTGTTCAAACACCAATGGAACTTAACATTGATTCATGTTTGATTGACATGAGTAAGAATCGTTGGAATTTAAGCGTTCTTCTAATGTGCGATTGCTTAGATATTTAAGTATGATGAACAATGTTCAGTTTGAGGTTGGTGACTCAATATTGACATTTGCATGATATTTCCTCTCATTACCCTTAGGCACTCAATTGATGAAATACTCTAATAGGCATTGGTTCATATACAAGGCAATGTAATGCATTTAATTGCATATTCGAATACAGTCACACATATTTTGTGATGTAATTATTTAAATTACAACTACTTTCCCAAAGTGATTAATTACAATAACACATTATTTTTTAGGTACGAATTGTATAACATGTCTGCGACAAAAGTTTATATCATACCATCTGACAACATTTCAGAGGAACGTTGATCTATCGGTAGCTTCTTCGGCAAAATGTTTTTCTACCTCACAATTGATACCTTATTGATATCGTTCACATGAATGGGTCGCGAGCAGGATGCTGAAGCCATCAGTTTTAATTTCGTTTAAGATGGTGACATTTTACTTTCGTCTGTTGAAATGTGTATGTGTTGAGACATATTTTGAACATTATTCCTTAAAAGTTTGACTTTCAAATCCCTACACGCTGCTTTAAACCTCGGGTCTAACAAGTTTGCTAGAAATTTCAAGTCGCTTGTACTGTAGTATAGCGAAATAACCTTGGTCCGTATTCATGAAAACTTTCTAAAGATCAAGAGTGGAATTTGTGCTCAAGCCTATTTTTTTGTTCTGGTTATAAATTGATAAAAAAACCTATTTTGTCAATGATTTGGGAAAAATAAAAGAGACATAAACCGAATACTATTTCTAATCTTTACATTTGACCTTTTCATTTTTTCACATGGTTAAGGTCAGTTACAAGTAAGCTTGTTTGAGCATACTATCCATGCTTGAGCATGGGAACGGTATCATGAATACGTACCATAACTATTGAACTGAACTAATAGCAATCAATACATGCACACACAAGCTGCCTTTGACATTTACAAGTATTTTTGTAATCATAAGTAAATGGTCTAATTATCACTGCTTCATTATGGTGTATATCTCTTCTGACTGTACAGGATAATATTGCCAAAGCAGTGTATCAATACAAGCTATAACTACATGCAGTAATTCGAGTCCTCCATAGAGCTGTATGACAAGATATTCATTTAACAAAATAAATTGTATCGTATCAACATATACATTGTATTGCCAACTGTGAGATATCAGTAGTCTAAATATTTAATTATGTTGATATCCGTCCAATATATGTACACTGTATATATTATACAGTGCATACTGCATGTAACTGAGGCAATGTTTTAATATTCATATGTATAACATGCGTGTTTGCAATATGATTCAATTAGCATTGCAATTACACTTTAAATTTATCACCATTTCATGCATAAATAGGCAGGAAAAATACATTTTATCTCTTCATAAAGAAAAACAAAAATGAAGGTAACAGCTGATCTGTGGATAAATGGACACAACAAAGAAGCTATGGGTATATGAGCTCTTAGGAATCTCTTATCGTTGCTATTAGTTACAATGTACATGTATTCATTGTGTGCGTTGAGTGTTTAGTCTTTATATCACTAAACACTCAATTCTTTTGAAAATACATGACGGCCATTGAAAAAGTTTCTTAACAATGAAAATTGTTTAACATGATTATTTTAAAAGCATACAAAATCCTACGTTACCACAAAATACAGTAACTAGCTATATGTAGTCATTATCGATGGCGATACTCCAGGGCTACTATCACTTTCGCTCTCTGACCCCTGGAATATGTCATAGCAAAATTTACCGTGACATGACCATGCTATTCTTTTGATGCAAGCAAAAGGATCAAACGAGTCTTTTCGTCTCACCCACAAGGTGAGATACACTGAGCCTTTTGCTTGCTATGACATATTCCAGGAGTACAGAGAACGAACGTGAGCGTAACCCCTGGAGTATCGAGGATGTATAAAGTGCGCTTAGTGATGAAATATTGCGGTTGTGGTTTTCTTCATTAATAATCGAATTTTCTTTATCTTTTTGAATTCATTGTGATGATTGGAGATTTGATACGTAATCACACGTGTGTCTTACATTCTCTCTCATAGGACCTACCCTTTTCCTATCTCTTTTCCAATCCGATCCTGCTTCGTTCGTTTCTTTTTCGCACTTCTTTGAGGGGAATCAACATCATCATTGGAGTTTCCGGGATCGTCTTTTTCTTTTTTCTGCTGCAATAGATAGCAGTATGTAAGTTAAGTTAAACGTGGAGGCTATCCGGTAAAACAAAACATTATAATTTCTTATTTTAACATCAATTCAACTAATAATCATTGATGAACATGTATGAGAATGAATAGGAATATAAACCATAACCCCGTCTCAGAGTGGAATCTGTTTTAAAGCATGTATTCTCGTTATCATTTCGATGATATATTGTAAAGTTGAAGATTGATGACTTCATTCTGATTGTCCCGGAATTTGGGAGATTTGACTGAATGAATAACATCTGGTATAAAGCATAACGTCTGTGTATATCGACCAAATTGAGACTGTAAATGGAAAATCAACCATGCGTGTTGTTACTGTTGGTACATGTGGCTAATCAAAGTACTGATATCCTAAAGGCATGCTAGTGGGATGTTGACGTTCCTCCATGTTTTTGAAGTAAAACAAAGTTGTTGGCAATTTTGAAAAAACAAAACTAATATTTGATAAATCCTTCAATTGGGAGACAATTCTTTAAAACAAAACGATAGAACTCATAATAAGCAGTATATTTACAAATCTGTTTTACATTTACAGATGCATTCAGTTATCTTATGTAACATTATAATGAACGTAGATATATAGCTCATTCAAAAAACAGTGTTTGTTTTTAAGAATATTTATAATTATATATTGTGTAAAATAAAAAATAAATAAAATAGAAGAAATTAATTATTAATATTTATATATATAACATTCATTTCTGTATTTACAATATACTTGATATCCACTTAATCGCCTAACAGCAATAGTTTATTGCAATCTTTACCTCATTAAAAACTAGTTTGTTATGAAACATGCAAATGCTTGTGTCATAGGAATACATGATAGTACTTTGAAGCAGACTATCTTTTAACATAAATACAAGCATACGTTCCCAAAGAAAATGTAGGTTTGAGTTGATTAATGAATCATTGCAAAACACTAGTATTGCTGTCCTTCTCATTAAAAAGTATATCATTTTAATTATTTAGCATTTTTCAAAATGTTTTCCTTTCCTTTCTTTCTTTATCATATTATCCAGAACTCGTTGCCCTTTATGAACAACGGACACTCTTTAGAATCTACCTTTTTTCTCTTCTTTTCTTTTTTTATCCTTTGCAATCTTTTCTGTTTCTTTCGTTCCAGTTTCATACTCCATTGAGGTGTATCAGCACTACTCATACGCTCTAATGGTGAGCAGGGCTTTTTGGGTTTTAACGTGTTGTATGAATCTTCACCAGATTCCCGCTGAAATAAAGGTGGAGAGTATTCGGTAAAAAACCTGATAATAACATTAATCGCATTATATATACTACTCACGTTTTGCTAAGGATTACCTATATTTTGAAGATGAAAAAAAGAAATGTTAAAATGATATTATATTTTCCTTTCGTATTGTTTTGGGCGAATATGTTAGCCTTGCAAATCGTCCCTCGTGGGTGTGTTCAGTCAACCCTAAAAGCACGTGCACGCTTTTTCACGTGTACATCCCTTTCAAAAGCTAAGCTAGGCTAAGTAAGGCGTTGTTCTAATTCTTAAGGAAATCAATTTGATTGGGTGTTTGTGTTTTAATATGGCACAAAGACGATCCAGACAACTGTTAAATGACGGTGAAATGAATAGGGGCATCGGAATGCTTCAAGATAGTATATCGCAACGTCAGGTTGCAGCAGACCTTGGTGTGTCTAAAAGTGTGGTGGCAAGAATGTGGAATCGTTTCCAAGCTCATACAGGCACGGCGTCACAGGTTCCAAACTGCCACAGCTTTAAGAAATGACCTCCTAAATGCTTCTGGTTCCCGGGTAGCCACTCAGACAGTTAGGAACCGTCTTCATGATGCTGGTTTAAGGTCACGTAGACCAGCAATACGATTTCCCTTAACTGCCCGCAATGTTAGGGACCGATTAGATTTGGCCCAAGCTCAAAGCTCTTGGACTCTTCAGGAATGGGAACCGATTCTTTTTACTGAGGAGTCCAGATTCTGTCTCGACTTCACCGACAGGCGCGTTAGAGAATGGAGACAACCTGGGGAGAGATTCCAGGCAGGTAACGTTGTGGAACGTGACCGATATGGCGGAGGTTCAGTTATGGTGTGGGGAGGCATAGGCCTTCTTGGGAAAACTGACCTTTATGTCTTCCATAATGGTACTGTTACGGCCCGGATTTACTGCGATGAAATCCTTGATGCCTATGTCAGACCCTACGCTGGCGCTAACGGCCCAGACTTCATCCTTATGGACGATAATGCTAGGCTACATAGAGCAAGGGCGACTGAGCAGTATCTACAGCAATTTTTCAAAAAATAATCTCAGTATATTTGAAAGAATACGTGAAGTTTGGAGACAAGGCTATTCTAAAGTTTGCGGCCTTCATAGTATTATGAGGTGGCTGACTCAACTCTTACACTCGCATGGTATTTCATATTTGTAGCAGAATCCATTTTCGTTGTTAAACGTCACATTTAAGGTGATTTCAGAATCGGAAATAATGTGGAAATGATCGCCAGAACTAGCAGGGTGTGTATCTTATCAAATGACGAGCTTTGTTACTGGTACTAGCTTTTAAAATTATGTTTTAAAGACAACGCTAGTTGGCATTCTTCTAGGTCCATTACATAAAGATGATGTACTTGGGATTGGAATCATCACTGAAGATAAAATTCTCTGTAAAATGAAATAAGTCATAATAAACAATATATTTCCAATTAAAATATGCATTGAACTTCCGTTTTGCATTATTTCTGTATAATGTTAATAGGTCTTAAGTCTTTACCACGTTGAAAACAACAAAAAACATAAATTATTGGAAGAAGCAGCTACTAATAATAATTGACATTACCTAAAATGATGTATATTGATTTGCTGTTGTAACATATCAGCATATAACGGTACAATTTCCCCTTTCTATTATACATCGAACGCAGCAATGATGGTAGATTCATTTTTCCTCTTATCGTTGTCTGTATATAGTATATATAAAACGTACTTGATATCAATTCATCATCAAACAACGGTAAAACGCTTTAAAACTATTTTCTTGAAATTTAAGAAGATTTGATTGTGAAAGTTTTAACATATAGTTTTCTGTTTCCTGCTGTTGCTATGCGTGACCCTAACTGGATATTTGTTAATCGACACTGCTTAGGATCTACCTTTTTTCTCTTTATTTCTTCCCTTGTTTTTCCTATCTCCTCCTTGCTCTTTCGCTTCCTTTTCACAATTCTGCGCGTGGAATCAACACCAACCATGTCCTCTGGAAGCCAGTTGCCCGCCATGGGGTTTCTGGGGGTGTCTGGCTGCAATAAATAGAAGTATCAGTGTTGATTGTCATTGTAATTTAAGATGAGCCACTACCTCTTTCCCATGGTAATATTTGGAGAACAAAAATTTCTTAGAAGTCTTAAAAGATGTTGTGCAATAAACATTTAGATCTAAGAAGGTTTTCATCTTTATATAAGATATATTTTAGTAATATTTGAAAGGTGTTTCCAAAAATAAATTGTGTACTGCGTCTTGCTTATTTTTCCGTAGGCATAGTATTGTGAAATACAAAAAGTACACTCTGCAATGTGCTAACATTTTAATATCGACAACACACATTTGCTAACATGAGTGTACCAAATTCGGACCATAGAAATCGGAATTGACGCATCTCCATGGGTAATGTGTATATAAGAACTTATTTCATACAGAATAGACACGAAATAAGGAAATGGCAGTGGATTTTATATTGATTCACTGAACATTAGAAAACGCATTGTCGAAACACATGCAGTGTAATATACTTTTTTTTTTACAATAAATGTGTTTAAAATAGTTGATCTGGATCAATCATACCAATAAGGAGATAACTATCATCAAAGGAAAAACGCATTGATATTTTCGAACTGGGATACTTTAAAATATATTTCAAACTCGAAGATATTGGAACAGGTTATATAAAAATTTCAAAAAAACAAAAACTTTTTTATATATATATATCTATCTATCTGATGCATGGGTAGTTTTACCAGAGAATATTTGTATTCTCACTTACAGTGACGTTATGAAATCACTCGCTCTGTTTGAAAGAAAAGTCTGAGATAGATGTGCAATATGTATTAACACTTGTAGATGACGATAATAATTTCTATGCTTTGTTAATTTGAAACCAAAAAGTAAGAACATTCATATTTTCATATGTTTTACTGTAGTTGAACATGTGAATAAAAATAGACAACACTAAAACTCGATAGCACTGCAAGATTAAAATCAATAAATGCATTAAAAAACATTAACAGCTGATGCAACAAAACTTGAAAACCATTAAAGAAAAAAAATCCAAATATCTAAGGACAGCTTTATACAGTCGAGTCGTAAAGAATTTTGCCATTTACCGCGTATTTGATAGTTTTTAATTTAATAGAAAGTGTAAGAAATTATGTAAGGAGGATGTTGAAACTATTATACATTTATTCTAGGAATGTTATGTTACTTTTATTGCGACAATGGAGTATCATATTAAATATAAGATCATCAAACTATTCTAATTACGTTTAACATTAAGTAAGAAATAATTTTCAAACACAGACATCAGTTAATTAACTGATACTACAATCAAAATAATTTATATATTACTATTCTATAGAAATAAATATAACTATTAATGATTAAAAGTGTTAAAAAATATGCCAACAAAATCGAAAGTCCTTACTTTTAATTCCATAAGCTTGAGGATAGCGGCTTTTGTTACTCCCTTCCTTTTAATTACTTTTCGTAACACTCCCACGTGATCCTGAGCAGTGTATTTCTCGTATGAGAAATCTTCTCCCAGGATCCTCGCTACCAATGCTTCTCTTGTCAGAGATGTTCCGGGTGGGTAAATCATTTTAAACAACTCAAGTGTATCCACTGTTCCCTTCACAGCTTCTTCGTATTGTCGCCCTAATATTGGAAAGTCTGCAAACGCTCGGTTTAAGGCTTTAATATGGTAAGATATTTTATGATCGACAAGCACCGGATTATTGATTCCTTGCAGCCATTTTACAAACTCTTTCAAAGCATCCTTCAAAGTACAAGCATTCACTACTTCTCCTTTTAACAACAGCTGTGTACCGTCAGGTGACCGTTGAAAGTGGTTTTTAGCTGTTGCTTGGGGCTCAACTGGCTTTGTTGGTAAAATGTACTTATGGAACGGTTGATAACCCTTCGCATCAACCTCGGCTGCCAGCTCGCAAATCGATGGCTCATCTGCAGGGAAAATGTAAATCATCCTCAAGCAAGCGATAGATAAATCAAATTAGAAGATAAAATGTGTCGAATAGATTTTATATTTGAATTTGTTGAAATAATATTTCATGTGTGATTAGTTCATTATGGTATTTCCGATAGAGAGATGGTGTTTTGTGTGTAGATTCATCAAAACATAATCAACATTTTGGACCGAGTGTTTCTTAACGAAAATGTCAATGCCGGCAGTTTTGAAATATATAAGAAAAATTATGCGTTACATAAAAAAAAAATATCAGATTTTCATAACGCCTATGTCAACACGATTTGTAGTTGTTTGTGCTTAAATAAAATAAAATGGGTGTCAATCTATAATGTACCATGTTAGAGATTTTTGTGATGCGCATTCCGTTATTAATATACCTACACAAGGACAAGCTTGACTTACAATATCCAGTTGTCTGTGTATTGAAGTACACTAAAGTAAGCCCCTTCTCCATGGTTTACGCAGTAACCGTCCCCTGTAACAAATATAAAAAGTAAAAACCTAGCGTCAGAGAACCTGTTTATTTAGGATCAGGATCATAATCAAACTGTTACTGAGTATATATACATAAACACTACTGTACAATATATGTATATTTAATGAAGTTTGTTTCTTTTATAATCATATTGCTACTTATTGTATCAATGATACGGTATACTTATAGTATGAGAAGCCTCTAACGAAGGTACATCCTTCCCTTCATATTCATACTTGATGTATTACGGCCATTTTAGCCAATGCAATTTGCTGTTAAATCTTTATCATCTGCTTGATAAAAATATATAGGTCTATTCGAGTGATATTGTTCCCAACCTTCAACACGACACAGGTCACGAAGTCGATAAAAAGGACAACAACAGAAGAAAAACAGATACAAAAAACAAATATTAAGACGTCATGAAACCAGAGAAATATTAAATAGTTTTTGGGCAAAGTCTACAGTCTACATTGTACTTGTTCCAATCAAAATCATTTTGGCGTACAGAAATATATAAACATACAGGAAAATATGATTGAGGTGGAAGTTTACATATGATATATGCATCAGCAGCCAATTCATTTTAAATATTTCGTTAAATGTTCTTAAAATTAAAAATACGTGAGATAAGCGACTTTTTTATATTTCAAATTTGATGCTGTTTTGGTAACTGACCTGTCCTTAGCGATAACAAAGGGAAGTTATAAATTGAAGGGATGAATATCAATCGTTATTGCATTTTATATATCGTAAGCAATAAACCGTATAGATGTAGCGGACCTACGGTTAACACTGTAACATGTGTCGCAGAAAAAATAAACAACGTCGATGATTGCTAAACCTAAACATGTATCTTTAAACCTGTAACAAAGAAATTGAGAAAAGTGAGATAGTAACACTTCTGATTTTAGAGTATCTAACACAAAAACACTTAGAAACGCAGTAAAAACGGCGTGAACCTTACTTCATACAATCACCACAAAGTGTGAAATTCTAACCTAAAAGGTCAAGGTTTAAATTTTCATTGTATTTTTGGATCAGATATTTATTTCCTTTATATTCATGAATACAAATTATTTAGCGTATTTATAGTGTGCCGTTGAATGCTCCCGTGTGACGGCCACATACTTCGATGCAGACTGTTATCAAGGTTACGAACCATCTTTGTAGTCCAGGTTATTTAGGATGGACAACAAGCTGAATGAGACTTGAGGATTACGTATGGCACCAGTAAACAGTATGATACAGTCTCCAATGGTCATTAATACAGAAATAGAAAACTGCCTCCGACAATCTTTACAGGTCACGTGACAAGCCACCGAACACTATCATCGGTTTGCATAATGACCTCTCCAACGAGGTTACAAGACAAACACTACATGTAATGAATTATTCTTATTTAGTTTTCTGGATTTTTATAATGAAAGAGTGACTAAAGCGTGTTCTCATTATTTAGTTTACTAGCAAAATGAGTAAAGCATTCACTAATTTTTAAAACACTAGAAGGTGTTTTGCAAGCTAACAAGAAACTCACCTAAACGTTGTAAAGCCAAAATGCTAGACAAATACATTAAAGTACACAAGATTTTCTTCATGTGACGCCTGTGATAGTTTATGAAAGTACAGAAAACAATTGACAATTAGGGTGTACATTTATAACTAGAGATGACTTTAGATCAGCCTGATGACCTGACAAGAACATAATGTCCTAACATTATACTCACGATCTCTTGTCTTCTTGATTATCTTGAAAGCATTCATATGTTAATGTCAAAACATGTGATACATAGCTGATATCTAATGGAAATTCCATCCGTGTTGAATTCCATGAACTATTTCATCCATACGGGAAGCGAAAGTGAAAGTGAAACAACAAATCATATAAAACATTATTTTTTCTCAAGGACTGAATGGGTGTTGATTATTCCATGTAACACCAGTAAACAGCATGATAAAGTCTCCAATGGTCTTTAATACAGGACTAGCAAACTACTCAGACAATCTTCACAGGTCTCGTGACAACCCACCGAGAAGTTATATTTTGCAAGCTAGCAGGAAACTCATCCAAACGTTGGAAAACCAAAATGCTAGACAATATTTATTAACAAACACAAGATTCTCTACATGTGACGCCTGTGATACATATGTAGTTTACGAAAGTACAGAAAACTATTGACAAGGTATACATTTCTAACTAGAGATGACTTTAGATCAGCCAAGTGATCGGGCAAGGACATATTGTCCTAAACTTTTACTCACGATCTCTTGTCTTCTTGTTTATATTGAAAGCATTCAAATGATAATGTCACAACATGTGATACATAGCTGATATTTAATAAAATCCCGTCCGTGATGAATTCCATGAACTATTTCATCCATACGGAGAAGCGAAAGTGAAAGTGAAATTGAAACAACACATCATATAAAACATTATTTTTTCTCAAGGATTGTACTTTTATTTTCAAATAATCTGTCGCTAAAAGAAACAAATTTTCCGCTAGTTTAATTTTTTTATTGAGGTTTCTTAGCGAAGAAAAATTTGGCAAATTGGAAATGTTGGTGGTTTTTATGGAATCTTGACCATATCATGGTGCCCACGACCATTCTCAATCAACTTCTTTCATATTTAACACGAAATAGGCTACATAAACTTGTAAGAAATTCGCATTATGCGTATGTTGTAGGAACAAAGGGACAAAACACACCATCTGAAAATTATATAGATAACTGATTACATCATAAGTAATGCATACACTTCTGATGAACAATAAATAATGAGTTTGTCTTGAACACAAACAGGAATTGGAAACTTATTTTTTCGAGGAAAACATCAGAGAGACAATACAATAAATCGGCTATTACAGACCATGCTAACACACAGTCACACCATTGACTGGAACAACTCAAAAGTGCTTGAAAGGAGGACAACTAGAAAGTCAGGATAATCAAAGAATCCGACTGGGTTAGGAGAGAAGGCGATTCGATGAACAGATACGAAGGGGCCATCAGCTGAGTTATCTGTATGACCCCATTTTAGCATCCAATAAGGGGTGGAACGGATAAACATGTTGCCCGTCCCCCTGACTGCCTGCAGTATTTGAGCGCAATTGGGCGAAATGCCTTAATGATTGTTGAAAGCCGAATACTTGATTTAGCCCACTGTGGTTTTGTTAGTGGTTTAGTGGTTTAGAGTCGAGACACCAGTCATTTGACTCTTTGCTTGACACAGGAAACAGACGTTTTCGAAAGCTCACAAAATAGGTGTTCAATTTCTGTTTGTGTTCAAAACAAATCTTATCATCATACCAAACTGATGAATCTAATTCCGAAAACCTGATGAACAATGTTTCTGATATCTCGTATGGATGAAAACTCCTGATAAAACCTTTCGACATAGAGGTGATCATATTATTATGAAAACGATAGAAAGCTTATAGCATTCCGTGACACTAGCAACTTTCGAACTATATCAAACATTCTGTCATTACAACAACTTACCTTTTATTTGTATTTTTAATACACCTCTTCCGATGTTCAAGAATCATGTGACTAAACATAACCTTGGCGCACCTTATCTGTGCATTTGTTGAAAATATAACTCACTTATCGATTGAGTCTTGTTTACTATAAGGCGTAAAAGCAGGAGTTCAGCAAAACAATAGTACAGCAGGGGGGTTATCCTAACAAAATTACAGATATGTGTCACAGGCGAATGATGTTTTGAAAATGTATTATGATAGTGATCAGTGTATATAATTACTGTTATTTTGATACTAAATATGTCATATTGGTATACATGAAGTAAGCGTAGTGATTCTTTTAATTAGAAAAACATGCAAAAATTTCACTAAATTTAAAATATAACCAACATTGTCAACTAGCCTATATATAGTTACAATGGAAGGCTATATTTTTTTAACTTCTTTAAAAACTTTCCATATATATATTCTGTCTACAGAATATTTTTTATGTAATATCTAAACCGGTAAAGTACTTTTGTCAAATATAATAACTACTACCTGTCTGTTGTGCATCCAGGTATTTTATTTTCAATCAGACCCTTTTTTACGGAAAAAATGACCTTTGTTGAAAAACTCTTGTCAAGACATCACCTCCAAAACTATGGCGCCAATTTCAACGGAAGTTAACAGATATGGTTAACACATCTATATATGTATTTGATAATTCACTGCCCCCTGACATTGTGCATACAAGTATATACGTAGTACGTTTTCATTCCGACTCATTAAAAGGAGTTATGACCCTTTGTTAAAAGAAAAACCTTGTCTGCCTCATAAACTATTGGGCTGATTTTAATGAAAGTTTACAAATATGGTAATAACCCCTTAATGTCGTGCATCAGAGCAGTATTTTTTTTCATTTTGAATATGATAGAAGTTGATTTGAGAATGGTCGTGGGCACCGTGATATATATTGTCAAGATACCATAAAAAACACCAACATTTCCAATTTGTCGTAGGCATTTTTCTCGCTTAGAAACCTCAATAAAAAAAATAAAAGGGTGGAAAATTCTTTTTTTAGCGACAGATTATTTGAAAATCTTTATAATATTGTCTAGCCTTAAAAATTAAAGTACAATTCCTTGAGAAAAAATTACGTTTTATATGATTAATTTCACTTTCACTTTCGCTTCCCGTATGGATGAAATAGTTCATGGAAATCAACACGGATGGGATTTCCATTAGATATCAGCTATGTATCACATGTTGTGACATTAACATATGAATGCTTTCATGATAATCAAGAAGACAAGAGATCGTGAGTATAATTTTAGGACATTATGTTCTTGTCAGGTCATCAGGCTGATCTAAAGTCATCTCTAGTTATAAATGTACACCCTAATTGTCAATTGTTTTCTGTACTTTCATAAACTATCACAGGCGTCACATGAAGTGAATCTTGTGTACTTTAATGCATTTGTCTAGCATTTTGGCTTTACAACGTTTGGGTGAGTTTCTTGTTAGCTTACAAGTGTTTTAAAAATTAATTTTAGCAAACTACAAACTGCATAGACTTTTGCTAGTGACCAGTGAATGCTCTACTCATTTTACTAGTAACCTGAATAAAGAGAACACGATTTAATCACTCTTTCATTATAAAAATCCAGAAAACTAAATAAGAATAATTCATTACATGTAGTGTTTGTCTTGTAACCTGGAGAAGCCATTTTGCAAACCGATAACAGTGTTTGGTGGCTTGTCACGTGACCTTTAAAGATTGTCGGAGGCAGTTTTCTATTTCTGTATTAATGACCATTGGAGACTATCATACTGTTTACTGGTGCCATACGTAAATCTTCAAGTCTCATTCAGTTTGTTTCCAAACTGAAATGTCCATCCTAAAGAACCTTGACTACAAAGATGGTTCGTAACCTTGACAACAGTCTACATCGAAGTATGTGGCCGTCACACGGGATCATTTAACGACACACTATAAATACGCTAAATAATTTGTGTCCATGAATATAAAGGAAATAAAATGTTATATCTGATCTAAAAATATAATGAACATTTAAAACTTGACGTTCTATGTAACAATTTTATATTTTGTGGTGATTGTATGAAGATTCACGCCTTTTTTACTGCGTTTCTAAGTGTTTTTGCTTGTAACACTTCTTATTTTGAAGTATCTATCTCCTCTAAACTTTCCACTTTTCTCACTTTCTTTGTTACATGTTTAAAGATACATGTATGACCATATCCCTATTGTTGTATTATAAACAATTGCGGATTACATTATTGCGAAACGTCTATGATATTTTCTAGAATATGACGAATGTAAAGTAAAATAGATGTAATTACGATATCCTGGTTTTATTTCACTTCAACTTTCACTTTCAGATTAGATCTAAGCTTTGATTATCAGTAAGATATTACGACGAAACTTTTACAACGTAAACCTACGCTTGAATGTTACCGAGGAAAATGTTCAGAAACATGTTATATTTGACTTGAAATTTACCTCATTAAAATTATTTGCCTGCATAGTCTGCTGGTTTATTTAAAAATGACAGTTAACTGTGGAATTGTTTTCCTCAGAGAACAGTTCCCCAATGATTGGTAACAAATGATTATGCTTGGCAATAGAGTGGGCTGATGTGTCAGAAGGATGTTTTCGAGGCCCCTGCGTACCGTTAAGCTAACCAGGTTTGGAGTATTTGGGGCCACTTGTATCAATGCAGGCTTTCCCATGGTAGATTGTAATCAGTGTTTTGATTAGTCAAATTAGCATTTTGATAATTTATCACTTTTATAGAACAAATTATTTTTAATGTTTAACTGGTTAAAATGTAATAATTAGTTGAAGAAATGTGTCAAAAACAAGTCAAAGTCATGTCTACACAAATCTTTATGTCCATATACCTTTCTTCCATTTTCTAACTCTCTAAATATGAATCACTTTCAAATTTCACCCTAAGTATGTTACCATGGGTAACCTGATAATTGAGAATGATTTGATATGATTCATAGCTTTTTTATAAGACTTTCCATCAGTCTTTAACCATTGCTTTTGGAACAAACTCATGATGGATGACTAGTGTTTGTTGTCATATATATTGTAGAACACGGAAAGATACGAAAACCCAAGAAGAAAAGAAATTCACCCGATCAGAAAGGAAGCAGTCGGAACCCCAGATAAATAAATCGGCAATCTCAGACCATGCCACACAAAAAATCATGTGATTGACTTGGATAACTCCAAAGTATTTGACAAAGAGAGCAATCTGTTCAAACGGCAGATAAAGGAAGCCATCTGGATACGCCGCAGTGAGCTAGTTCTAAATCGAGATAAGGGGGCTCATAGACTCTCGCACATCTATGACCAATTATTTAACAAAGCGTATCTGAATCGAGTCATTTCGGTACATTTATAACAACTAATTGTGCATATGGTTGCAGCGTAGCCGCATCGACATCGATTTGTTGACAATCCGTACATATTCTACACCTTTGTGTACATACCCTTCACTGGTCATTTGTGTGATAAAAGTGACAGAGTACATACCGTACTAGTCATCGAAACTTCACATACAATGTATAAACACCCATTTGTTGTGTAACAATACTTTTTTCATAATCCATACTAACCAACCTAAAGTAAATGTTAAGAAATGTCATATATTTTAGTTCCTTGTTGTAATTGATCCCCATCAATAAAAATCAACAATTTATGTTTATTTTAGGCATGTCGTTGTAGTTTCGTTATATATACTTCGTTATCGGTTATACTAGTGACAATAATATAGTTTTTACCCTGAGATACTAAAACAGATATGAAAATATGTATAACAGATATGATGACTTGAGATTTACAAACCGACCTAAGAAAGGAAATAGTCATAAAGGTTATTTGCGACCTTTGCCGACACATCATTTCTCATTGAATATTTGGGAAGCTATAGTTAATATAATTGGTGTCAAATTCATCTAGACAAAACCGGTTAAATGGTTTACCAGAACTATCTAACTGACAGTCTGTAATCTTACTGATAATTCCTACATCATATATTTGGTATTCTTCGTGTTAATGTATCATACATATTTATGTTAAGCTCCAACATTAGTTTTATTTAACATTTTTTTTCAAAACAAGATACCATTATAGCACAAAAGAAAAGAAATGGTTTATTTTCAAATTTTATTTTCACTAACATTCAAATTTATATTGTTTACGAATAATGATTTTTATTTGGGGGTCAACTAATTTATTTTACTATATATTGCAAATTTGATCAAGCATTCTATTGATAATATACATGGAAAAATAGTTTTCGTTGCAAAGTTTGAAACTTGTTATAGTTTGTTACTTTTTACAACTTCATTATATATCAATTTTGTATCTGAACCTTTCTATGGACACCTATGTTAAACTGACAAAACACGACCACTGGATTAACGTCCAAAACTTTGTTACATTAACTGTGACGTTGGTTTGCTTGAGAAATGTATACAAGCGTTATAATTGTATGTACTTACAAATAAATTCTTCAGGGTCCCTGTACCACTGCCGAACAATGAAACTGCGCATTCAATATTTTTACTTTATGAGTGTAGCTTTCATAATTCATTTTGAAAACATGATGGAGATGAAATAAACAAAGACAATCCAGTTTTCTAGATGTAAAGAAAAATCAGCTCCACCAGGTGCGAACCCAGAACTTTAACTTGTTATACAGTTACTTTTACAGACCAAGCTACCTGGCCAAGGACAGTGCCATGGACCGACTATGCTTTAGTAACATCATAAACAAAATTAAGGCGAGGTCACTGTATATACGAACGAAAAACTAGTGCTGTGAAGCAGAGATCCTTAAAAATAAAAACAACCCGTGTCAAGGCACTGTCTAACACACGTCAGTTCATTCACATATACATTAGACATATTACATGTAAATCACATGTTTTGTATGTTATGGTGGGGAAAATGATTCGGGATTCGGAAATATTTGAAAAAATAAAGTCGGTAAAAATGGCATCCGTTATTGTTTTATTTCCTATTTTTGTTTCCTTTCTGCCAAACTTATTGTAACACTGTATAAATCAGGTACCCCCATTTTTTTGAAATATATATGTATAATCAAATATTGTTCCGATAGAGACACATTGTGGTACTAAGGGAGATAACTCACAAGGATTGTCGGAACAGTGGTGTTGCGGGATCACGCGACTAGTTTGTTCCCGCCAATTAAACATTCTTTAAAGAAGGTCTTGTTGTGTCTCTCTCTAGGGAAGTGCCATTTAGAGTCGATTATTGCAAAGCATTGTTGGCCTGACTTTAGATATTATAACCATTAATCATTTGTTCAATTTGGGCATTGTGATATTCCTAATAAGACTAGCATAGGCTATTACCCTCAGCTTAGACCAGAACCACTAGAGTCAGTATGAACTTCAAGAGGCAATGAATAATCAGCATACCCAAGCACAGGGGTATTTACTAGCATTTCTTTGATTTTCTCAAATGCGTTCTGCTGAGATTCACCCCCAAACCCACTTTGCGGGTACTGGTTTGATCTTGTCTTCGGGCGGTTTTTTTTCTTGGTGTTAGTACCATGGCCTTTCAACAATGAGTTGAGAGGCTCGACAATTTTTGAATAGTTCTTGATAAACCTTCTATAGTATCCTGAAAAACCAAGAAATTGTCTAAGTTCTTTAATATATTTGGGCTCGGGCCAGTCTGTTACTGCCGACGTTTTTTCGAGATCTGTTCTAATGCCATCCTTAGACACTACATGTCCAAGGTAGGTGACACTAGTTTTAAAAAGTTTACATGTTGATGCCTTTAATTTCAGACCATGTTGTTCAAGTTTGGAAAATACTGATTCTTACCTTTTAAGATGGTCATCAAAAGTTTTAGAAAATATCAGTATGTCATCTATAAACACTAAGCACTCCCTCAAATTCAAATCTCCCATGCATTTCTCCATGAGGCGCTGGAATGTTGCAGGGGCGTTAGTTAATCCAAACCCCATTCTATTACACTCATAAAACCCTAAATTTCCAACAGAAAAAGCGGTTTTTGCCTTATCCTTCTCTTCAACTTCCACCTGCCAGTAACCTGATCTAAGATCTAATTTTGAAAAGAATTTGGACCCACTTAATGTGTCAATAACATCATCAAATCTTGGCAACACATAAGCATCTTTCCTAGTATGAGAATTGAGCATTCTGTAATCAATACAGAAGCGAAGGGACCCATCTTTTTTTCTTACCAACACTATATTGGAAGAAAATGGACTATTTGATTCCCTCACCACACCAGCCTCTAGCATATCCTTCACATGCTGTCGTACCTCTTCGTACATTCCCGGTGGAACCCTACGATATGGCTGTTTAAATGGTTTCTCGTCCAATAATTCTATCTGATGCTTAGTCAAATCAGTTTTACCCAGATCTGAGGGAGAAGTGGAGAATATATGGGTCCAGCTTGCAAGTTTTCCCCTCACTTGAACTAGTTGATCCCAACTTAAATTACCTTCCTCTACTTGGACCCCTAACTCTTCTGGCACAGATTTTTGTACTGTGGTGTCCTTGGTCCGAATCGATGAATCTGAGCCCAGACTATCGATTACCTGGATTTCCTGTATTTGACATGAGCTAGATCTAGGTTTTATAAACAGGGGTTTTGCAGAAATATTGCAAATCTTTACAGGTATTCCAGCTACTCTTGAATTCTGGCCCAGTTTGACAACACGAGGGTATACTGCATACCCTAGTCCTTCATCTAAATTCTCTGTTACAACCTCACCAATGCTAGAATCCAAATCTATAACCAATCCCCTGACAACTGCAGAGTCGTAAGGTTCCATACTTTCTACTGCTAGTTTCGATTCCGGAGGTACTTCAGTACTTTCTTGGGACAACAGCTCTTTACATTGCCTAATTATATTAGTACCTACAATCAAAGGACACTTTCTATTGAACTCCGTATCTGGGACCACTAAAATGGGTACAAACAACGCGACTTTTGACAAGAATGGTATTTTTACACTACACTCTATATAACCTAAATATCCTAATGGTGACCCATCAGTTACAGATACCTCTAACCCAAGGTCGTTAAGATCCAGCAGCTGAAGCCCCCTTGGTATCCTATTTAGACCTGATTCTGAAATGGTAGTGACCATTGATCCACTATCAATCAAAGCAGAGAGTTCACACTTTTCAATCAAGATCTTACCCTCATTTGACATGCCTACCATCCTCTCTAACCAGTTTTGGCCCATCTGTTCACCAGATAAGGTCCCCACATGGCCACCAGTAGAGACCTCTACTACCAGTAGAGACCTTTGGCTTACTCTCTTTCTGACGATCTTTGTTCTGTCCATTAGCACCCTTACCTTTGCTTTGACTATAAGTTTGGTTATGTTCCCAGCGATTATTATTAACTTTTCTGTTACCCTGGTATGGCTTTTTAAGTTCCTCCCAGATCCTATCTACTTTACTATCCATCTTTTGTAATCTCTCATCAATTTTTTTCTCTAAGGCCTTCACAGCATCTTGACTCATACTCCCATCTGTGTGCCACTGTCAGTGGATTAACCACTACAGGCTGTTCCGAAACTTCTATGATAGAACCAATACGAATGTGATTAGTTATCTCACTATTGACAAAACCTGGATTATCCTTTGAAGACCTATTGTTGCTCAAAACTCTATCTAATGGCAGAGATTTGAACGGCAACTTATATCCTTGACGAATGACCTGTAACACGGCCTCGCAACCGACCAATCGGAGAAAGTGGGCGTGTTTCACAACCACCTGCTGTACTATCGGTGTTTAATACCGAATGTGCCTTTACTACGGGCTTTACCATCATTGACTCATCAGCCACATCTACATTTTTATCAAACAATACATGTGTACTTATCTTTTCATTATCCCTTCCTGCTGTCGCGGAGATACCCCTCACCGTCGGACAGTCCCTCCTCCAATGACCTGGGTTTCCACAAGAGAAACAGTCCCAGCTTTTTACATCGGTGGTATGTCCATAAACGCCCGCCCGCCTGTTGTCGTGACACGCGTGTCCCATGCGCCAACATCATAAGGATAAAAACGATCCTTTTGGAATCTCCGAGGTTTCTGCTTCTGTATCTTAGCTTTCCTATTCGCCCTGCTCCTGGCCCTGTCCATTCTTTTTTATCGTCGGAATCCAAAACGATAGGGTTTGTGACGTACTCCTCTACCGTCTTGAGTTTTTGTCTGTATGTTATTAAATCAATACATTCGGTAATCTTTTCGTTCGTGTCCTTCGCGTAGCCGGCCTGGTTTGACTGCCGAGCTTCATGCAACTTTGCCACAACCTTGTTGTTGCAATTGTGCTGCTCCTCACAGCCTTTCTTATTGAATTTATAACTGTCCACGAAAGTCTCCGAAACGCCCAATCTTTGAAGTCATCAACGAGTCTAATTGAGTTAGGAGCTCGTTTCTGGAAGCTGAAACTGCCGCTCCTACCTGCTGTGAAATCTCTGCCTTCGTAAGTTCATCCATGATCCCCGAGAAACATTTAATATGATCGTCGCGCTGGAAAGGCGGCTAGAAAATGACCCACGTACCCGATGCGCTTACACATATCGCACTGCTGCATACAGGGCCAATCCGATTGGCTAAGAGCACTCGGCAATATCCTTATCGAACCGACAAGACAAATAATTCCCGCTATTCTCCGAGCCGCAAAAATATATAAGATCCAAATGTAACATAAACTTTCGTTTTAGGACAATGTTTGGTTTGGTTTGGTTTATTATTGTTTAACGTCCTATCAACAGCTGTCATAAAAGGACCGCCTCCCATGTGTGCAAAATACATGCGTGTAGTGTATGCGTGTGTGTTTTTGGAGGCTGCGATATGTTTAGGACAAAGTAGGGATAACTCTTATACTAAATGTATGAATAACATTTTTTCATCTTTGCAATTTTTTTTCGAAATTACTAAAAATTGTATTGATGATTATGCATTTACTCTCTATTTTGTTAATTCAGTTAATCGGGACGTGCCAGCCGAGGAAGAGTTAATTGCTACACTTACGGATGAACTTTTGACTGGTTAGTGTACTAACAATTATAACTTATAACGCTTCTACATACTTGTTTTGTTTTTCACAACAGCAAGTTTTTCATATTCTTCAGTTGGTTGAACTTGTAAACAGTGTGTATATTCCTTTTCCCTTTTGTCAAATAAGATATTTCCATTACATCGCCTCCTTTATGGCTTTGTCCGACGCGAATGGACATTTCGTAATCAGAGGGCTAGGTAGAACGTTTGTAATGACCAAGACACCGGATCTCCATAAGAAGGCGATTTTGAAGAATACTGGAAGTTGGTAGCAGAAAAGATTTGCTTATAGTTGTTGATGCTAAAATTTGGGCTTTTGTTGTATATAACTCTCGACACTTAACAGGAGTAACTGGAATAAGTATTTTATTTTCTTATCAATTTGGTTGGGTTTTAAAGGTTCACAGAGAGAACAACGAAAAACGCCTAAAAGGTTGAAGCTTCCACCGGTTTCGCCACTCGCCAGCACAACCCAACCTACACATGGCCGTAGACTTTTTCTCCCGGCTGACACGAAACTCCGGATTGAGAAATTCAAGGATCGTGTCGCGGGAGAAACAGCGATCAGCCAAGCAAACATCATGGTGAGACTTTGTCTTACAGACAAGTGGGAACATTATTAAAGCATAAAGCCATGTAAAGCACCTTGGCAAATGCATAGCAAGACAGAATCAGAACAGCAAAAAAAAAGTCGGATTAATAAACTTAATTATTGACTGATTCAATTCAATTAAAAATGTATATGTGTGTGCGTGTTTTTGTCCTTTGTGTTTCATCTAATGAATCATTTACATCTAAAACACATGCTTTGATTTGATTTTCTTGGTCATTTGGGGCAAGGCTTAGGTCTAACGTAAAGTGACATATGTAATATAAACGTGTGGTTAGGTGAAAAGAGAAACAACTCTTTCAGTAAAAATATACGTAACTCGAAAGCCATTTCCGACCTGTTTAACATTATGTGACAAATAGTCTCGCATTCCCCAGACTCTCGCCTTCTTTCGAGACTGCCTCGAGCGAGAGTCTAGCAAGATTCGTATTTAGTTTTTGTGATTTCAAATCGAGGCTAACTTAGAAATCGTTACATTTTTTCATTGGCAGATAGAAACACACCCACAAAATGGCACAAAACAAGAAGCACTGGAAGCCACTCTGTTGCAAAGAAACATTGATTTCAAACTAAAAGACTTACAGCTGCTATTCAGAAGGATGTTGTTATGTATAACAAAGACGTTTATTCCGTAATACCAACTCTTGCTGATGCTTATGAAAACAGCATCGTCATAGTTGTTTTCCCACTGGTGGCTTTAACGGAAAACCAGGTTGTCTACATAGAAGTAAGTGGAAGCCGCTGTGTTTACGCAAGTAAACAGCAAACACGAGGTGGGTACATGTATACAGAACGGACACTATGACGGATTGCTTTAAAATAATCTATACGATTGTGAGTCATTGATATGTTAAAATCGGAATTATCACTATATTTGATTATGTTTACATAAGTGTAAAAAAATAGTCATGGATGAATTTCCAAATACCGACAGTACATTAAGAATTGTCATTTGCACCTCAGCATTTGGCTTAGGAGTTAATGTGCCAGACATCAATATGGGTATTCACGGTTGGGGCGTCAATGACTATTGAGGTGTTTATGCAGGAATTTGGAAGTGGTCGCGATGGAAGAAGTGCCATGTCTGTTTTGTACTATCATGGAACGGACAACATCAAAACTTCAACAGATGACAGAATATATAATATAAACTTTATTTATTTTACAACAATTATGAAACAAGTTATTTCAACTTATATTAATCACTCTTGTTGGCCCGGATGTTAGTTGCCGGAGAAAACCCACCTGGTCGGGCAGGTGAGCCCAACCATTTCACGATCGATCGGGGGAATTGAACCCCGGCCGCCTTGATGAAAGGCAAGTGCGCTATCCACTGCACCACCACGATGACAGAAAGATGTCATCTGCAACTGCTGACACATATCGAGAGTTTTGTTACAAGAAAAACTTTACTCCAGATGTCAGCATTGATAAACAAATTCATCCACACCATTTGTGTTGTGATAACTGCTTTAGAAAATGTGAATATTGTCCCTTTTTCAGGCTTCGGAAGATATTGATTTGTGTGCAGCAGCCTCAAAAGTTATAATGGTGATGCGTCCTGTTGTGTCTGAATCTTAGCGTAAGGAAATCCGTGAAAGCGCCTAGAGGAAAACAGTGTTCCATCTTTATTAAAAGCTGATATTTTAACCGGACTTTGTTTATTATCGATTGACTCAATTGTAAACAATGTTCACTATATAGGGAGCATAGATGATCTTTTGTCGGAGTACATATTTCACAAAACTATTGGAAGATCAGTGATGGATATTATTAATCAAACATTTTTTTAAACTGCACTTGCACTGACATTCTACATGAAAATGACATTAAAGGGCCAATAACTGATGATGGTATGTGATTGGGTTTTATATTGTTTAACGTCCTATTAACAGCTAAGGTCTTTTATGGACGGCACCCCCTGTGTGCAAGATGCATGCGTGTAGTGTATGCGTGTGTGTTTTGGGAGACTGCGATATGTTCGTGTTTGTCTCCTTGTGATAGCGTGGAATTGATGCCGACTTTTAAGTGCTACCTCACCAAACCAGTCGTCCCACTCCTAAATTGCTGAGCGTTGAACAGGAGTAGAAACTACCGTTTTTATAGACTTCCTCGCAGAATCCATCGTTATGTCAACAACATGTTGCAAGAAATCAGGATCGCCCCTGAAGTAGTACACATAAAGCCGCACAAACCTTGACACAACTCAATGTCTTGCAGTATGCAGAGGTCGCCGCTTGAGCAGCGCATGTTCGTAACATTGATGCATGATTTTCAAAATCCTCTTGAATTTGTGTCATGTCAAAATTCTCCATCTCACTAGTATCTCGTTTTTTTGTAGGTTTATTTCAATAGTTTGCGGCATTCCTGTTCTATTAATCTTTGAACTGCCTTTTTGGCATTCTCTTTTGTTGCACTGTCTGTAGAACTTAAGTTGATGCGGGTATGAGGAGAAGGCCAGTTGTGCTTTTGGACTTATAGTAAGATACATGTAGGTAAGGCATTTTTGGAATAATTAAATCTAAGTTGGTACAACGAGATTTAATTATTCGTCACAAAACATGGGGTAGTTCCAATATTTGAATAAAAATGTCAATAACTATTAAAAAACAAAATAATTAAACCTCAAAGTATAGTTGAGAATAAAAATAAAAATAAATTTATATAGGGTTTTTATTTTTACTCTTTAGATAGACGAGGGAATGTTGCAACGTCTTTGTTCCGACCTCAGGCGGGGGAGTTCCGTTCAATAGAACTGTTTTCCTATCCCACAGCGATCCAGCAAGTCTTGTCTTAGGAAATAAATGAAATCTCCCTTTCATTTTCATCAAATATAATTCTGCTTCCATGAACTGTTTAAGATACACATACACATAAAAGTAAAAACACCAAACCCTAAGTATCCTCCCATAACCAACCCATCCCCCCCCCTCTCCAAACAATACACGACACCATTCCGGTCCATACAACTAGCACTCTATACAGCCCACAAATATATCGGCACATTTCCTTGATACCCATCACTTCTTTCAATCTCCATCCCCTCTCAATGTTATAACTTACACACACCCGTCCCCCTACTAATAATCACATTATACACTAAAAAGCATTAAATGTCGGAACGATGAACAGAATTAAGTGAAAGACAAGACGAGGTTTTCAAAAAAGATGACATTGGTAAAAGTACAGTCAGCTATATTTTCAGTGATGAATGATGAAGAGGGGATTACATTGAACGGACAACAAAAATACAGCACCAGCATGACTCTAACCACTAACTACTAACACAGTCCGTCGGATGGGACTATAAAAGGTGTCCTGTGTGAGAACTGTCCAATCACGAACGTAAAAGTTTCGAAAAAGATTAGGCGATTAGCGCCGACACAGAGGATAGGGTTAGATTTGTTTTCAGCCGATAGAACTATGATATCTTTACTAGACAATTAGAAGGACTTCAAATATATATATTTACATTTGCATGGCATTGTCACTAGCCTCTTTGAAAGCTGTGTGGTTGATGGGACTTTAATTACCATGCATCACGAGACACAATTCTTAGCGTATTAATACAACACTGACCGGAACTACAATATCCAATATTAATAAACATGACGGCTGCTGAAATATCGCTGGGCACTGTGAGATTTGACAATGCCATTGTAAATTTATGTGCAAAATAAAAAATAAAATAAAAAACACTTTTATTATAACGAAAACAAGACCAATGTCTGCAATATCGTACAAAATGCACATCGGTTGAAATCACCAATGCCGGCAATGGAAACAATTTTAACGCTCATGCAATTTATCAGAAATATCGTCTGTTACACTGCACTGATCAACAGGGGTTCGTTACAAATGTCTGAAATACACATATTTTATAGACCTACTGACACATATGTTACAGACCTATTGATATGAGTCACAGCACACATAAACATTTCAGACATTTGTAACGAACCTGTGCTCCGTCGCAAGATCACTCACTTCAAACGCTATCAGTTTCATGCGTCTCGCATCCACGAACGGTTCCTCAGTTTCTGACGACATGTCAAATAACGAGGATGTTATAGAATCTACCGACTGTTGTCAGGTTCCCATACAATCAACAAATACATTCACGCCTGGATTCTTCACAAAATGAGAAAAGAGAAAAGTTCGAATAACTCCCTCGTGGAGGGCAAGGTCGGATTTACGGTGTTCACTGTATTTGTCCATGCGCGAAATTTGTTCCGGGGAAAAATCGAAACAATTTCAAATATAACTTTTAGCTCAGAGTTCTATTGATAAACTTCAATCACCCTATAGACATATCATACGCATTTGTATGGATACTGAATTGTGGAATAACATTGAAGTGTTTGTTAAAATTTCAAAGTACTACTTTGTTTGCCAATCAGCACGCGACAATACGCTGTTCAAACTATTGAACGAAATTGTGTGGACTGTCAATAAGGCGGGCATTTTTAATTTTAAATATAAGTATTGAACTGTTCTTGTATGGTATTTATGATCTATTTGAATGGCACAACTTTGCAAGCAAACAAAACATTATGCGCTAACGCGCATTATGTTGTTTGCTTGCAAAGCTGTGTGTTTCAAATAGATCATAAATACCATACAAAAACAGTTTAATGCTTAAATAAGCCAACAAAATTCAATTATTTTGTCAAATAACTCGGCATGTCTACAGTCCATGTCTTTTATGCGATTTAGCGATAACATACATAAGTATGAACAAACAGATTTTTGATGTTGAAAGTTTGCGACTTTTTTGCAAATATTTACAGAGCGGAGAACATCTGAAAAAACATAGCGCAGCAATTCAGCATTGCAAACAGGTATTCAGAATTTAGAATGAGTGTCCTGGAACCGTTTGAGGAATGACAAAAGCTCTCAGTATTTTGTTTTGTTTCACTTAGGTCAAAAATTAAAGTGCAAACATGTAAAAGGCAAAAGAAAGGACTGTGTAATCGAGGAATCTTACGCATTTAGCATAGGTGATGGCAATTTAGCATAGCCGGGGTTGCGGTTAGATTGTGCTATTTGGTTACTTTATTATGCTACGAGGGTAAATTCATGCTATTATGGTTAACTGGGGTAAGGGTTAGATCCAAATTAGCATAAAATGTTACAGGGTTAGCTCAATATGTAACACATTAAGCATAAACAATGGCGCTAGGTTGTTCCCTAACCCGTGACAGTTACTCTAATGCAAATGATTTCCTTAGAGATATCAATGTAAATGTTTTGGGCAGAATGGATCAGCAACTTTTGGAGCATCTTCAGCGGCGACTGGAGGTAATTATATGTAACAGGGTGTACTCATTGCACTAAGTCACACAGTGTCCATGTGTTGTCTGTCCCGTACTCGTGTCATAACCTGAACGTGGAGTGTTGTGAGAGAGTGATCTGCACGAGTATTTATATACTGTTTGTTTGTTTGTTTGTTTGATTTTGTTTAACGTCCTATTAAAAGCTAATGTCATTTAAGAACGGCCTCCCCTGTGTGCAAGATGCATGCGTGTAGTGTATGTGTGTGTATTTTGGGAGGCTGCGATATGTTCGTGTTTGCCTTCTTGTAATAGCGCGGAACTGATGCCGACTTTATAGTGCTACCTCACTGAAACATACTGCCGAAGACACCCAGCAGGACGCCCCACCCGGTCACATTATACTGACAACGGGCGAACCAGTCGTCCCACTCCTAATTTGCTGAGCGTTAAGCAGGAGTAGAAACTGCCATTTTTAAAGACTTTGGTATGTCTCGGCCAGGGGACAGAACCCAAAGCCTTCCTCACAGGGGCGAACGCTCAACAAATGGCCAAAAGTGAGGCATTGTCAAGGGAGACATTAGGAAGAAGAAAGTTATTTAGAAAGGAGAGAAGAGATAAGGTCCCAAATTTAGTCGCCTCTTACGATCATGCAATTGGGGG